AAATATCAAATTAATATTATATTATTCGGTCAACTTATAAATTATATTTTTGGTAATTAATTATAGGAGAAATATTTTCTTATTTATTCCTTATTGTGATAGAAAGTGGAATTAAGGTTACTAAAAGAAAAATCGGTCATCTCTCTGCCATTATAAAGTGCATATATCCTATCAACTATGTACATTAATAAAAACAATACTATAATGTTTATGTGTGCAAAAAAAGGCCAAGAGAGAGAAATCAGTTTCCACATGCTTTGGCTATTGTTTCTACTTGTAGTTTATGACGTTGTTCGTTCTGCAGAAAGGATTTCAATGTTTGGCTTGATCTCTATGAGATTTGCAATTACAAATTGATGTATTTATATCTAACTATTTATTTATGCATTATAGAAATGTGAGAATAATGAAGTTCTAAGATTTTGGGATTCATGTTTATTTGTGATGAATACTTGACACAAATTATTAAAGTTTACATGTGGTATCTGAACATGATTGAGGAATTCATAATTTTCCTCTAAAGTTGCATAAATAAAATTAAAATTAAATAATTTACTTTTCTTTTCGAATCGATCTATATGTTGACACACATGCACAATTCGTGTTTATGATGGATGACCGTACGACGCCTCATCTTCTAATCCATGCTAGCTTGCAAATAAGTTTTATTTTAACTACTTATATAAAAAAAAAACAATGCTAGGACATGCTAATAGACAAAGAAGATAACTATGTTTGTTTCTTGATTTACGTCCCTGATTTGAACAGTACGTGGGATTCGTGTTTTTAATTTTCTAAAAATTAATAAATAAATTATTAATTGTGTATTTATTTATTTTATTAAAAATAAAAATTTAACTTCTAGAATAATATGTGAGTCTAGAAATCCAATTTGATTTTATTGAACATTCAAATAAATTATTGTATTTTGTACCCATACATACATACATGATGGAGATGTCAATTTTAGATTAATTCAATTATGATCTCCGAGTCTGGAAATAAAAAGTAATACATTTTATTATAAAAGGATATTTTCATTGAAATTTTAGACTAATATGTTTATGGGGTTGAAGTTGCTTAAATTTTAATCGACAAGTATGAGTATGTATGTATAATGTTAAATGGGTAAATTAATAATTAATTAGTTACTTATGAATTTAATATTTATATTATGTGAGGGTTAGTAGCTACCGAAGTGGCTTAACCATATGATTGATGAATATTAATTTTCATAGTAATGAATTATTTACTACCTAATTTAATATTCATATTTTGTAAAGGTTGGTAGCTGCCAAAGTGGCTTAACCATAATGATTGATGAATATTAATTTTAGTAGCAGACATAATAACAATATTTCATGAATTATTGATACTTATGATTTTTTGTGATATTCATGAATATTGAGTTTATTTAATTATGAGAAATAATTCTCCAAAGGGAATTGATTTTCAAGTGATTAAATGAAAATTAAGGGGTTGTATGTATTTTTTAATTAGGTAGATATAGGATATCCAAAAGTAACTTATATATTTAATTAAATAATGCATAACCAATAAAAGTATATATATAAATACATGTAAGCATTGTTATTAGTATTTTATAGTTGCCCCTGGTTATACATTGTATTTATATTTTTAAGTTATATATACGTCTTGTTAACTCAAAGCATTATTGTTGTGGACATTTTATTTTATTATATTTGTTTTATTATATCCCTCAATTCGCATGCTACATCTTTTCTGATTCTCAATAGGACTAACTTCTCATAATTGTATGAGTAAGCTAAGTTCAAAATTTAGATGTGTTAAATCTTGATTTAGCATTTTAAATTGAGAAACCTATTGTTAATATTGATAAAGACAATGAGGAAGAAAATATTCTTCATAAAGCTTAGGAGTGATCAAACAGATTAAGCATTATGGTTCGAATTATAATTCCCCATAGTGATAGTGGTAAGGAATATTTGACTAGAAGAATATTTTCATATTATAGATAAATATCTAAAACGAAAATTATCAATTTATATCACTACTATGCATTTTTGTTGGTACTCTTACCATGTATAAGTATGTTCTTAAGATGACTAATGTTGTTGCAAAATTGAGAACCTTAGGTATGATTGTTGATGGGAATTTTTTCGTTCAGATTATTCTCAATTTTTGTTTACTCAGTATGAGTTATTTCGAATTGACACTATTAAGACAGGTGAAAAGTGAATTAATTGACCATTATGTTAATTTAGAATGAGACAAAGCTTAAGTAACAAGGTAATCATTATGATCATTTTATGGGACTAGAATCATCTCCTGTGGAACAGTATAATCTGTTCCCTCTTGTTCGCACTATTTTGGCACTGTAGCAGTGGTAAAAAGGGCTAAATAGGACTTTGGGTAAAAAAGGTATATACACACACATATACATATACAAACAACAATACACACACAGATGAAATTATACATACACAGAGATACGAAATTGCAGAAATTGAAACTCATGTTTAAGCGGCAAATTGGAAATTCTGGAACAGATTTAGCGCTTCTTCTTCTAAGCTTCTTTCTTGTTTCTTCTTCTTCTCTCCCAATTTTTCTTCCTTTCCAAATTTACAATTTCCGCGCCTCTTCTTCTAATCTTCTTTCTTCTTCTTCTCTCCCAAATTTTCTTCCTTCTTTCTAAATTTACAATTTATTTCCAAAGGTTTGGTTTGGTTGGACGTCGGAGAAGAGGAATCTACAGTGACGAATCGCCTCTTCTAAATATGTAATTTTATTTCTTGTTTTTCTCTCTTGATTTTTCTTCCTTGTTTCCAAATTTACAATTTTTTTCAAAGGTTTGATTCAAGGGCGGAGAAGAGGAAGCTACAGTGACAAAGGTATAACGCCTGTTCTTAATCTTCTTTCTTCTTCTCTCCCAATTTATCAAAAGAAATAAATTGGTCTTTCCTACATTGTCCCAGCTTTCCTTAATTTTGTTCTTTCCAAAATTACAATTTCTTTGGAAAGGTTTGATTGAACAGCGGGGAAGAGGAAGGTGCAGTGTCGTGTGATTGATTTATGGCTGAGGAAGACGAAGCTACAGTTTACTGGTTTTGTAAGTGAATCTGTGAATTGTATGACATTGTGTTTCATTAGTTTTGTTTGGTTATTCTTGAAGTGTTATTAAATTGTGAAAAATTGAATCAGAAATTGTGAAAATTATATTATGAAATTGTGAAAAAGTTGTTATATTCTGTATTATATGTTATGTTTTAAACTTCCAATTAAAGATGTTAGAATAAAATTTCCATTGTATTCCTGTAATGCAGTGTTTCATTCGTGATAAGTAGTACAATATATTTGGGATATTCTGTATAATAAGAAATGGAGGTTTTACACTTCCAATTCAATATGTTAGAATAAATTTTCCAATGTATGACATGTAAGTTTCCATTGAGAGTTATGATTGTTCATTATAAATAACTTAACATGATTGTAATGTTTTTCAAAATAAGCTGAAGACCTTCCCATCATTTCCCACAAACTAATGCTCCCAGATTTCATCATTGTCAGTTACACAAGTGGGAAAAGTAAGGAAACAAATAAACAATGAAGTAAAAAAAAACCTATTGAGTAAATTAGATATATGAAAGAGTGAAGGAGAACTAATGCAGATTCTTTTCACCACAATGTTCTGTTGTTGTTGGTGGTAATAGTGATTTGGATTTCAAAGCGCCCATCTTCTCATGTGTATTGACATTGATAGTTGGCTTGTTCATGTCCTTTTGACGCTTTATTTCTATGTTCCCCGGTTTCTGCATGTTTGTGAAGAAGTGAGCAGTGGGTTAGGAATTAAAGTCACTCTGTTTGTGTGTGTGTGCGTGTGAGAGAGAGAGAGAAAGGGAGGGAGAGAGAGAGAGAGAGAAAGACAATGGGTTATTTGGGACTTGAAGTTGCAAAGAAGGCAATGTGGTTTTATCCAAAGGTCATGGGTTTTAATCCTTGTGAAAGATGGGGCAACTATGCTTGCTACTCCAATGGATTTGTCTATGTCTTTGGGGTATGTATCTTTCTTTAAAATAAGAGAAATGAACTTGTTAGTTTATGTTTTTTGTTTCTCATTATTCATTAATAATAATGCTATTTGGAGTGTATTTTCTTTGATCATGATGTTTGGATTCTTTCTCTTATTTAACTTAATTAACTCTGTTACTATCTGTGTGGTAACTTTCATGATGTTCTCTTGTTATTCTTATTATTAGTATTATTATTGTTAATTTTTATCTATTTAGTTTTCAGTTTTGGGTAAAAATTTATGCTCTTTTTGTTCTAGTCTGTTGGCATAGTTATCTTTGGCTAATAACATGTTAACTTTTTACAAATGTTATAGTTTGTTCATGTTCTTTCTCTAATATTTGATTCTTGTTGGTTTGTCTTTGTTTTAATTTGTCAAATTAGTTGGGATGTTGTTTGGTTGCATGATTAGCTGCATCACACTACTACTCTTGGTTTGTTGACATGGAAATGTTTTTTCAATTCTTATTATTGTTTCTTCTTAGACCCCTAAGTTAACATGGTTGTAATGTTTCTCAAAATAAGTCGAAAAAAGTTTGCAAGTCCATGTTTGATTTGGAAAAAGTTAAATGAATACTTGAACATAGTTGTAATTAGTTTTAAAATAGGAGGCCCAAAAAGGTTGGAAGTGCATGTTTGAGATGGAAAGAGTGAAATAAATCATTTATTTTGTTAGTCATAACAAAATTATGATGAGTGTAGTTAAGGTAGTTGGTTCCCTGATACATTATACTATCTTGAATTATGTTAATAGGTCAGAAAATATTTCGAATTAATAATTCATACCTACAACACAGGCCTTCGTTGAAACCATTTTTTTTTTTTAATTGTAGGTTTCTGATTTGAATTGTTGGAATGGAAGAGGTATTAAATAAATCGAAGACACGACATATACAAAAAACTCTAATATTGCCAGGGCAGATGTCGTAGAATGGAAACCAAGAATATGTATGAAGTTTGAAACTGAGGAAGAGGCATATGATTTCTATAATTCATATGCTAGTCAAGTCAGTTTTAGCGTCCGCAAAGAGTATTTTAATAAGAGCAAGAAGACTGCTAAACTGTCATCGAGATTGTTAACATGCTGCAAGGAAGGTTTCAGGGGTGATGACATTCGAGACAGTAATACAAAGACTCCCAGGGCTGAAACATGAACTGGTTGCCTTGCTCGAATGCTTATTCAAGTTTCCAAGTATATGCATAAGTTTGAAGTTACAAAATTTGTTGAAAGCCACAACCATCCATTGATGATTGATGAATGCATGCACATGCTGCCGTCGTAGCGTAGAATTAGCCGCGTTCAGGCCATTGATTTGGAATTGGCTTCTGATTCAGGAATAAGCCCTCGCAATTCATATGAGTTGATGGGAAGGCAAACTGGTGGAAAAGAATCAGTCGGGTACATGAAGTTGGATTTGTTAAACCATATAAGGACCCGAAGACAAACTGAGCTTGAATATGGAGAGGCAGCATGGCTAATGAATTATTTTGAGACTCAGTCTTGTGAAGATCCATCTTTCTTTTATGCATTCCAATTGGATAGTGATCAAATGATTACTAACATATTCTGGGCTGATTAAAAAATGATAGTTGATTATTGCAATTTTGGAGATGTTGTAAGTTTTGACACAATATACAAAGTTGTACACGGCAACCGTCCATTTGGAAGTTTCTTGGGGTTGAATCATCATCGGGAGACCGCTGTGTTTGGAGCAGCGTTCATGTATGACGAGACTGCAGAGTTGTTTGTCTGGTTGTTTGAAACATTTTTGAAAGCAATGTCCGGTAAAGCGCCAAAGACGATTTTCACTGATCAAGATGTTGCAATGGGAAAGGCATTGACGCAGGTGATTTCAATTTAGATCTTCACTCTTTGCATTTCCTGTTGCATTATTATGTAGTTATATTACAGAAAATAATTATGCAGGTGATGCCAGGGACAAAACATTATTTGTGTGTTTGGCACCTAATGCAAAATGTACAGAAACATCTAGGGTTCTTGTTTAGACATGCGTAAGGCTTTAAGAAGGTGTTATCAAAATTAATGTTTCAAATTGAGGAGGAGGAAGAATTTACCAGGGAATGGAATTTAATGATAACGGAATATGGTGTTGTTGGTAACACGTGGCTTACAAATCTGTTAGGTTTGAAACATAGATGGGCCATGGCATTTATTAAACAAGCCTGGTCCGCGGGTATCCATAGCACACAACTGAGTGAAAGCTTCAATGGTTGCTTGAAGGCATACTTATCCAGGCAACTAATTCTTTAAAATTTCTTCATACACTTTGAAAGGCTGTTGTCTGACAAGCGTTACAAGGAGTATGTAGCCGAGTATGGGTTGCTCCACAATTTACCTCAACTGAAAATAAACTGTAACATATTAGTAGAGGTGGCAAACCTATACACAAAGGTTATATTTAATAGTTTCCAGGAGGAGTTCTTAGCAGCTGGTGCCAGTCAGAGGATCATTGGTTGTAGTCCCATCGAGGGCAACGGAGGCTGTGTTTACAAAGTCGTTGGTGAGGATGGAATGCAACGCGACGTCACGAGTACATCAGAAGATGAATTGTTTTGTTCTTGTTGTAAATTTAAAAGGGAGGGTATTATGTGCAGGCATAGTTTGAAAATCCAAGAGGACTCCATGTTCGTCAATACATTGCCTCGTCGATATATATTAAGAAGGTGGACTAGAAGTGCAAGAGATGACAGCTTGGAGGAAAATCTTTCCGGTGAAGTGATTGCTGATGTTGATCCAAAAATTGAGGTTAGTAGACGGCACAGGGTACTTTGTCGTATTCTGACTGAAATTTTGTCCATTATATCGGAGGAAAAGGACGGATACAATGGTTTGTTGGTGAAAGCCATGGAGTGGAAAAAAATTTCCAAATCAAGTTGTAGGCATATGTTTGCTGAGAGGAATGCAATTTATATTGCTGGTAAAGGCAAAAATCAATATCACGGGAGCACCATAAATACTGAAAAAATCCCCAATGGCCTCAAGTGTAAAGATACACGGAAAGGAAAATTTAAGAGGTTAAAACCGACCATGGAGCTAAAGAGTCTCAATAAGAGAAAATCACTGAAACGAACAGTTTGGCTTTAGATACTTTTATCCCCTTACTATTTTCCAAGTAGTATCATAAGTAATACCAGTTGTGTGTATTAAATTATGCATACGTAATACTTCTCATAATTGTGTTGTAGAATTACAATGAAGCCCTTCAATCCGGAGATGCAGGTGCCAGTAGTCATAGTGGAACAATCCCCTACCACGTGTTAGTGACTGTGAGTATTGTTGCATAACTATTTTCAGCACATTGCTTAACATTTGTTTTTTTTTTCCCCCCTAAATGATAGAAGTGTATTGAATATAAACAAAACCTTTGTCACACAAAATGAAGAGGGGAGGGGTGAAATGGTCTAATTAAAAACTTTTCTCTTTGAAAACAAAACCAATCAATCACAACTCAAGCACATAACACAAAATTAGAAAGGAAACCCTCTCAATAGGGAAAAACCTTGGTTATTGCCTCAGCCAATAAAGCATCCACTAGTTATAAGTATCTTCTTACACACTCAGATGTCTCACTCTCTACACACACCCTTGTACAAGAATAGACACTAGTTTTCACAACCAATACTCACACACTAGCTCACTAATGTGCACAGATGCATTCCATCTGTCTAAAACAACCCTGCTTGGACTTACAATCTCTCAGTAGCTAAATCACCAATGGAGTAATATGTCAATACATATAGAACAAACTACTTCAGCTACAACAACAATAATAGAATGCAATACACAGCCTCAAGTAGAACAATGTACAACCTTAGTCTTAACTTTTTTGCAATCAAAGGATAGAACTGTTAAAACACAGTGCAGCTTCAGTTGATGCTCAAGCTAGGTTCCCACAGCCTTGTCTCAGTTCAACATACTTGCACAAATATGTATTGGACAGTGAATAGCAACTTTCGTCAACCATTCAGCTCAAATACACTTTAAACCTCTTAAAAGGGTAAATCTGTCAACTCACAGAGTATCTTCTGTAAGAACCCCTTTCAATGTCATCACACCTTTATAATCTCAGTATACAGTTGGTAAAATGATGAGCACATTAATTACAGTAAGATAAAACACTTTCAGCCCCAAAACAGATTGTTTTCTGCAAAAACACTTCAGTTGGCAGCTATAGCTTTACACAGATAATGTGAACCTGTGTAATCTCAGTTGCCAAACAATACCCTACACTTGTTTAACACATAGGATTGATGAACTAAGCAAGTTAAAACACTTCAATGCATATTTCAACAGATCTCAGCTCACAAGAAGCAAGATTAGGCTTAAATCAATAGTAACACTGCTCAAAGGGTAGAACTGGAATTTTGACTTTTATCAGGACTTGTCCAGGTTCTCACAGTCTTATATAAGCATTCTACTTATGTTCAAATGAAGATAACAATGATAGCAGCATGATATCTCATATTCAGTTCTCAGTTCAGAACAATGAGGTTGAAACCCTAGGTAATTGAGGTTTACAAGGCCAACACACAGACTTGTCCATTTTCTGAATTTAATCCAACTTTAATAGCTTCAAATCATCAAGTTAAACATGCTCAGATGGTTACCAAAACTTTCATAGAAGGTTAAATCATTATATATCAGCACAACAGGAATTTTACTTCAAAATATTCAAACAACAAGCTTAGATGTATCAATTTCTGTATACGTGTGTCTTTAAGGTAACACCTGAGTTCAGAAGATGTAAATAAGAGTATTCAACTTGATTCAACCTTATTCCAGCTCGTTCAACCTCTAGAGCAACATTTGATACCTCAGTCCAATAGTCTGAACAGCAGCCAAATTACACCAGCAGCACTTAATTCTTTACAGGTCTTGAAGAGATATTGCACACACATTTAATTTCTGAGATTTAAACTGACTTTACATGGTTAAATCACTGCTCAAAATTAATCATTTAGGTCCTCTTCACATTTCACTCAAGAACAGCCTCTAACACATATGAAAATCTATTCTTAGGGCTTAAGTCCTGCAACAGCTATAACCTTCCATTTATACTCAGAACCTTTGTTGATGTAGGCCTAAAATGGATGGATAGATATGAGCTAAGGTCCTCCAATCCGTGAGGGAAGCAAATCTGACATTGTAGAGGTGATAGTACCTTTTTACCCTTGCTAACATACCTTCTTTTGGCCTGTAGCTGACAGCATTCATAGTCCACCAATATATATATATATGTAAATACACCAGCTGCAATGTAACATACACACACTGTATAGCTGTGAATACACTCTCTCATAAGGACCACATTACACGTGTCCACACCTAGTAACCTTTCACAGAATTATAAACAAAATGTCCTAGCAATTGCTTTTTTACAGACCAGTAACAAACACCCTGCTGTATCATTTTTAGACCATGTGATTGATTTGTTACATTATAAAAATTAGCTCAAACCAGCAATGTAGGTCTACAAAAAATAATGTAATAGTGATATTAGGATGTGTGTAAAGATAAAAATACCCTTTGCAGTGGCTGTAGACAATGAGTGTGCTGTCACAGAATTCACATTCACTAAATTGAATATAGCTGCTATGACTTATTTGTAAGTTCTGTGAGCTATTTGCCTGGATCAATTAATTAAAAATTCATTGAGTGAGCCTCCACCCTATGCTAACATGTTCGTTATGGTTACAAGTTATTATTTGGTGAAATGTTTTACAACATTTATTTTCTAGGGTTGTGAAATTCCAGTTGAATTTCTTAATGAAGAAAATTATGTGACACCACCAGAACGTGTTATGCATCATACAAGGTTTTCGCAACCTGGTGAAACAAGTACTTCATTAACTAACCAGGCAAGTTTTGTTGTTAAGATGGAACCAACGTATAAATTGCAATTTACAAAGTCGCATAATTATTTAATTGATTGTTTATAATATATAAGGAAAAATATAAACTGTTGCAGACCTTTGTTGCCGATTCATGCAATTCCAATACCAATTATTCACATGATGATTGCTTCAGTGATGGTTTCAGAATTGATAAGGTACATAGTTGTCCTCAACAACTCAATTCGTACCACTATAGTTTTTTTGTAATATTTTTCTGTTGTCATGCTATCTAATTTGATTGTATTTTGTGGCATGATCATATTAAAAGATAGTAGATTTAAACAATTATGAATGGAGTGTTAGGCGAACGTCCGAAATGCCAATTGCGGAGCTGGACCGACCAATTCAAAGACTCTTTCCTACTTGACAATCATTACATTATGTATTGCACATTGTTTTTATAATGTTGTTTATTTAACTCTGCTTAATTGTTATTCGCTTTTATAACAATATCGGGGGGTTGGTGAACTTTGTATAATTTTCTGTATTATCAAAGTTATATTAAGTGGTTTTAATCATTTATTATGAAATTGAGCATACTGTTGACATATGAGTGTAACTCAAGTATTTGAATTGGGGCAAATGCATTGAAAATACTTGCAAGGGCCAAATTAATATAATACAAATGCAACAACATTGTCATCCACTTATGCAACTAGATATG